AAAAATGGAAATAGAATGAAGATCATGACTAAAAATAACTATCCAATGGTAGTAGATGCTATTTTTATCACAATATGACACTAAAGCTAAATTTCTAACTAACTTACTTATCAAAGTTTTTATTCAAATTCTAAGTATAACTTTGAAAAAGATTTATTATTTTATTAATAGTTTGGGTAGAAACTCTTTTAACTTTTAACTTTATTACCTGCAGATTACTTTCTGAGGTTCTAACAAGAATTAAAACCCAACCATTTTGTCCTATACTTAACTCATTTCTTATAATTTCTACAAGATTTTTGTTTTCACTTTTTTTTTTATTTTCTCCTTATCTTGTAATTTCATAATTAGAATCTTTTTATCAAGTATCTTGTCTTCTTACTTCCTGGATCTTCTTGTATTTTATTTTTCTATTAATTCTTTATGTTTATTTCCATTTTATGATCTTTTCATATTTTATATTCTAAATTTGTTTATGGATCTGATTGCAAATCTTCTTTTGTACTCTTAAAATTCATTTTTTTGTCATTGTCCTTATCTTCTTACCATAACAATTTAAATTAGTGACTTCTTTGATCATATCATTTTCTACTAACTCTGCACAAAAATTAAGTATGCTTGAACTGATTTGTAAGATTGTTTCTATAAGTTTGGAGACCTATCTATCTATCTCATCTTTTTCACTTCTATTGTTAATTGATAGTTACAGTATATCTCCTTTTTATTTATTTCTTTTTTTTTATCTTGGTACAACTTATTAAATTCTTTAAGAAATGTTTTAGATTCTTTTTTTCATGTTACCAGGATATCATTTTTATAATCAGGACATTCTAGTAGATATTTGATCATTTTCTTTTGCTGATTGCATTCTATACAGTTTGGTTGCTTATATAAATCAGAACTTCTTATTATTAGTTTGCTTAAAATGGATAGTTTATTATTGATTATTGATCAATTTAATCAGGAAACTTTTTCTTTATAAATTTTTGAAAGAGGTATTCCATGTACTGCTATCTTTTAACCTATTCTATATTAGGTTCCATTAATAAGTTTGATATTCTTGAACTTGATGATGCCATTTTGTCTCTGTTCTATATTACTGTATCCATAATAAGGCAGTTGATCTCTTATTTATTTGTTAAATAATCTAATATAACTAAGTAATATATCTATTATTTAATATTTAGCTATATAGTATTTTGAGTTGACTTTTCTTTTTCAAAGAAATTATCAAAAAAGAAAATTTTTGAGAAAAAAGAAAACCAGTTATATAAATTCATATATATTAATTTTCTATTTTTTAAAAATTTCTTAATTATAAATAAAAAAAAAAGTTTTTTAATTTTTTTTAATTATTGAAAGTTTGATTTTTATATAAAAAGAAATAAAAATAAAAAATTAAATTAAAAAAAAATATAATAATATGAAAATTTTTATAAGTATTTTTTTGTATATTATTAGAAAATTAACAAAAAAAGATTTAATAAATAATAATAACAATAATAATTATATTCTTAATAGTTTTATTAAATTATTAGATTATGTTAATTAATAAAATTTAAGTAACTATTAAAAATGTCAATTAAATTTATTATAATATAATAAGTATAGATTTTAAAGTAAAGTATTATTTATTAAGATTGTTGAAGATAAAATTATTTATCTATGCTATTAAAAATCAATATCTTTTAAATTTAAAAATTGTAACTTGCTATTCTTTGATATTTAAATTAGTTTAAAATTTCAATATAATTATATTTTGAAATTATTGGGATTCATGATATAAAAAAATTTAAAAATTTTATATATTTTAAAAAAAAAATTCTTTTTATAGATTAATCTTTTTTTTTATTTAAGTTTTATATGCTATTATCCTTAAAAATTTTCAAGTTGCTTATTATGATTTTATTAAAATTACAATTTGAAATTCTTGATAATTATGAATTTATAAAGATTGAATTTTTAAAAAATAGGTTAAATCGATAATTTAAAAAATTGATTTTTTTAAAATAAAATTTTTAAAATAAAATAAAATAAAAAATTTAAAAGATAAATAAATAAAAATTTTAAAAAGAAATCACGATAAATATATTTAAATAGATATGGTATATTTTTACTTAATCTGCGGCATGTAGAAGATGCTGGAAGTATTAGTCATATTAATCTTGCGTCACCCAGGGACTTCTAACACATGACTCGAGGACTCTTTGTTGATGCAAATCTACGGATCAATCAAAAATGAAAGATATCCTATTAGCGACATATTTATGATTTTATCTAGTACCATTTTGGAGCATCTTGTCGGGCAAAAAGAAAAACGAAAAATACCCTGAGTCAACTTCATATAAGGCCAAATAAATGACCCCACATTTCAACCTTACCTCTCCTTGCTTTCTTTTTATTCAGAGCGATTTTGATTCACGATTTATTATTGTGCTTAAAAAGGTCGAATTGATGAAATTTTATCAAGCGGATATGCCATTCGAGTATTAAACCTGTATGATTATTAAGTTATGTGTACATGCCATGATTGCATCACCGGATAGGATAAATGATGCAATTGTAGAGGATATTTCTAGTCGGTTAAATTACGTGATTTCCATCCAATAATCTTCTCAATTCATTACACAAATTTGATAACTAATAATGGCAAGGTTATTCACGTTTCTGTATAAATAATCAATGACATCCCTCGAGGGAATATTGTTACAACGAACATTTTCATTCCTTCGAAAACACATTTCGAATATTTGTTTTTGATCGATTCATCTAGCAAAAAGAAAATCATTCAATTCCTTCGTAGCAATTGGTCATGACATTGTCAACAGTGACACTTGATCACGTGTCAAGAATTTTGGGATGGGTGAGTAAAGCTGATCTTGCGAAATTTACGCATATACCGAATACGTACATACTAAAGATTGATTATTCATAAAAAAATAAGTCGTATTTTTCGGCGTGGTCAATTAGTTTCTACCCGCAGATTATATTAAATTGGCGAAGAAAAAGGTAATTGGATCCTCTTTACATTATTATTAATTTTAGTAGGCTAACTATTGTCTCTTTCAATATAGTGTGCAAGGTTTATCAATAGATTTTCTTTGGTATAATGTGTACGGGTTCGCGTGTTATTCGGTATGTTAATGCTATCAAAAATTTTATTGATTTATTCATTTATTGCCCAATTCATCTTTATGACATTGATCTTTCTAATGATCAGATTTTTATTTATCCATTGCGTCATAAAATAAAAGATATTCAATCTTATGTTTTTCTCGTCGGAGAAAATTCGAAAAGAATATCGTGATCACAATGATGGGAAAGATAATCTTGTCCAAGTGAACGATGTTATTTTTTCCTTACATGCGTTACTATTGAGTTCGATAACTTTATTTCAATCATTTATTTACAAGGTAATTAATAACTGTTCTCTTGCGAAAGTATTATATTTGTCTTGTATTAATTTTTTCCTTAATCACGTGATTTAGGGGGACCCCAAACAAAAAATATCACCAATAGCACTCTCAATCATACTGGTCTCGATTCTGGGAGCGACCTCACTGTCAGTGAGTGTACAACTTGGTGTTAACCAATGGATAGATCTCTTATACTTCTTAAGTTACGTCAAATTAGGCCTTAGTTTCATTAAATATCTGCCCCAGGTATGAGGTTGTCCGCCACTTCTTGCCATCCACATTATTGGGGGGTTCTCAAATCTATTATGGAAGCGATGAAGTCCTCATTTACGTTTACTTTTTTGTATTTCAACTAGATCTATTTGAATTTTGAAAGGAAGTCTACGGTTGGATGGAGCATTCATAACATCCTTCTAGACTTTACTGGTGGACTGTTGTCAACTGTTCAATTGGTGCTGGACGCCTACTCCACGAATAATTGGGACGGAATATTAGGTGATCCCGTAAAATTGTAAGTCTTTTTTTTTTTTTACTTACAATTATTCGCCAATCACTATCAATTCATTTTTTTCTGAATCCATTCTCATTCCAAAATCAGAGGTCTCGGTTTCCTGAGTATAGCATTCGATCTCATATTCATGTTCCAGCATTACATTCTATACCGAAATGGAGACAATCGTAAGAACGAAATGGAGGCGCAAGATGATATTTTCGATTGGGAGAGAGAAAGATTATTACCCAATGATAAGGAAAATCGTACGATTAATAATTACGTATGAAGGATGCAACGCTATCTGTTAATATTTATTAGTTTTCAAAAGTAAAATAACCTATAAAATATTATGATCTGAGTTTATCACCTCTAATGAAATATTTATGTTTCGAACATCGCACTTGTTATTTCTTTGTATATCAGGATTTTGTTATTATTATTTCGAACAAAATTCAGTCTCACCGAAAATTAATAAAATTTAATTTAAAAATTATCTTTATCGTTGCATTATTGTATGAACCTTAAGTTTACAAGAAAGGAATCTAAACTTTTCTATAAACCAAACTGTATAAAAAATAAACAAGGCCGTTGCATACAAACAATTTTGACGCACAAGGCAGTACCGTGTGCTCACAGAAAGTTATAAAGAAAGGTCACGCAAACTCTATTATAAACGAATATGCGAAACTTGACCCAAAAGTCATAATATTAATTAGACGCGTATCTTAATTTTTATGTCAACATTTAACACGGGATCGAGTCATTTGCATTCATGTGGCTAACCTATGACACTACATATTAAGATATGAAAATGAGGGACTGAAGCTCTACAGTTTTAGTATGATATTATTCGTGTGGAATCTTTTAATTGCAAACACGCTTATGGATTTATCAATATACTGTATAATTATGATATTTTCACGAGCTGATCACGATTATCTGATCAGGGGGGAGATTCTCCAAGCAAGATACCATCACGAGTCTTGAATACTATTTCTTAACTCTTTGATTCTAAATAAGGCTTAAATGGTTTAACCATCTTTATATAAAGTAGAATTAGAAAATGTATCAATACGTAAATACAGTATTATATAATAACTTTATTAATGGTAAGATTAAAATAACAAAGAATTATCTATTACATATATTCTATGTCTCTTCTATTCTTGTAGTATAAGTATCTTCTACAATCCAGCAGCATGATGAGATAGAACCCCTCTATTATCGATAATTTTTTTTTACAGATAATATAAAATAATTATTTACTTTTTTGGAAAATTTTTTCAATATTATTTTGAAATAAATGATTCAATAAAGTTTTATTTTAAAAGTTATCGATATTATATACTTCTATATATAATGATACAAATTATTAGATCCTAAAAATATGCAAACTATAAATAAAAATACTGTAATTATTTGTAATTTCAATTAATATTATTATTAAAAAAATTATTTAATGTTTTTAAAATTTTAAAATTTATATAAATACAATAAAAAATAAAAATTTGACATAATTTTTTCTATACTATACTTTTATTCAATTAATTTAATTATTATAATTAACCTTTTATAAGTCTCATTTAATAAATTTCATATAAAATTCAATATATTAAAATTTAACAAGTCAAGTCTTGACAAAATTTATTAAAATTTGATAATTTATATCTAAAAAATATTTTTATAAAATAATAATTAAATTTATTGTAAAAATTTTTTTTACTAATTGATAATAAAATTTAAAAATCCATAATCACAATTTGTTTTTCTAAAAATTTGATTAATATTTAATAATACTTAAAATAACTAAATATTAAATTGAATAAAAGTAAGGTAATTAAAGAAATTCAACTATTTGATATAATTTTTACCAATAAAATGTTTTTATATTATATTTGAATTATAGTATTTTTGTTCATTAAAATCTCATTTATATATTTTTAAATTTTTTAATATAAATCATTTATTTATATCTTTTATATCATTCAAATAATAATTATTTTTATAATTGATATTTTTCTCACAATAATAATATAACACTAATACTGAAATATATCTATATTTTTATGCTATAGAAATATTATATAAAGTTAAAAATAAAATTATTTAAATTATTATTATTTTTTTATTTTCAATAATTAAATCAAATATCATTTTTTATCATAATTTTATTAATTTGTTAATAATTAAAAAAAGATAATTATTTATTTAATATAAATTTAATTTATTAAAATCCAATAATATATCAAGAATTTATATATTTTTATACTTAAATTATATTTATATAAAAATTTATAATAGCCATATATAATTTTATTTAAATATTTTCTTATTAATATAATATTTTTTTATTGATATTTCTAAAATATCTAAACAAAAATAATTATTTAACTATACTTTTTATAAAAAATAGTTATTTTTTTTATATTCTTAATTTTTATAATCTTTTTTATTATTGTGAAATCTCTTTATATAAATTATATTAATATCTGATATTGAATCCTCAATTTTAATTATAACAATTAAATTGTTTAAAAAAACCATTCTTTATATTATCTGAAATATTTATATTTAAAGTTATATGAATATTGATATTAGAAGTTGAATTGTTATTTAGAACTTGAATTAAAAAAACCATTGAAAAATATTAATATTAAAATTAAATTATTACTAAATTATTAAAACTTTCTTTATTAATTTAACTAATTTATTTAGAAATAAAAAATTATATACAATATAAGTTGAAGAACTAAAAAAAAAAAGATTAAATTTGAGAAACAATTAAATTTAATAAGAAAATTAGGTAGTGATTATTCTAAAAAAATTATAATATATAAATTAAAAGCAATTAATTAATATTTACATTGTAATCCAAGACTTTTCTCAAGAACTTTGACAATTAAATTATCAAATTTTAATATAAAAGCATCATATTCAATAATTTTAAGATATTTGAATAATTTAAATTACAAAAAAATTTTACCTTTAGAAACATCTATACTTACTACTACTTATAAAAAAGCTTATATTATTTTTAAAAAAAAACATCTTAATGATAACTGAAAAAAAACCTTATTTTCTGATAAAACAGTATTTCAACTATTTAGAAATACAATTACTCAATAATATAAAGGTACAAGACTAGTTAGAAAAATATTCAAAGATTATACCAAAATCTTTATATAAAGAGAATTTTGTACAAAAATAAAAACTTTTTTTTTTTGTTTTAAAAAAATTATGAATACAAAATTTTATATCAATATTTTATAAAATTATAAACAAGAAATTAATAAACTACTTGAAAATAATTGATATTTCAATAAGATAATAATTCCAAATATACAGGTAAAATTGCTAAAGTATTTTTAAATAAAAAATTTTTTGAAATTATTGATTGATTTTCTAATGGTTTAGATTTATATCCCATTGAAAATCTTTGGACTATTACTAAAAAAAATATAGAAATAAGATTATCAAAAAATATTTTAGAATTAAAACAATTTATAATTGAAAAATGTAATAAAATTTCAAATAGGATTTTCAATAATTTTATAGATTCAATAAAAGAGATATGTAAATTAATAATTAAAAATAATGGTGAAAGAATTAATTATTAATAAAATTTCTAGATTTTTAACTTTATTTTGATATATTTTTTATTAATTTCTATATAGTAGTTTTAAAGTAATAAATAAATAAAAAATTTTAAAATTTTTTGTATCACATTATATTTATACAATACACTTACCATAATTTTTAACCTCTAAGATAAAACAACTATTTATTTTAATATTTTTATTGAAAGATTTTTTAATACTTTGGTTTATTATAACATACTGTTCAAATTTTAATCCTTATAATTTTTTTTTTCACAATTTTCTTATTATTTCTCTTGTTAATATAATACACTAGTAGAATTTCATATATGCTAAATTAGTTTGAATTGTAAAATTAATAGTCAAAGTAAATTATTATTAGCAAACTGTTTATTTATATAGTTTTTTTTTTTTTTTTTTTTTTTTAAATGGGCTCATGCCTAATCTTTATTAAGTTCCAAATTTCATTTATACAATTGCACAATGCGCATGTACAGGGGTATATATTCGGGAGTAAATAAAGAATTTGATAAGCTAAAGCTACTTCGAGGCTTATTGCCCTCTTTTTCCAAAGAAGCCCAAATCTTATTGAGCATGTGGGTGTTATTAAAGTTAAAAAGAAAAATAAAAAGAAAGGACTGGTCATGTGCTGTTGTAACAAGGTAGCTGTGGTATTTCTCAGCATATGTTAATCACATTTTGAATTCCCCTTTTGATAAAAGATTGGGGGAGCTTCTCTTGAGTCATTACGGAAATAAGGTAAGGATGAAAAGAAAGACTTTACAGTTTTAAGGCTTGTGGGAAGTGAGTAACCAAGAAGACTCAGATAGTATATTGGTATCCACATAAATGACTTGAAAGTCTTCCTGTATATCTTCAATTAAACACATTTCTATCTGAATATGGATATACTTACCCATCTGTATAATGTATTTCAGATTTAATTCCTTCTATAAGGACTGCACCTAGCCTCGCGATTGGTATATCCTGCTGGTGGCTGTTGGTATTAGCGATCGTCAAGGATCTCCCAAATTATCCGGCTGGCTCACATGTCACTGTTGACATTTTTGATCTCGAGTTTCAATTGGTGTGGTGGTGTTAACCTTCCAGTCTTCTAGCTTAGGATTTTTTGAAGATAGAATGAAAACTTCTTGGTGTACTATGCACACTAGCTTTATCACTGAGTATTCCTGATTCTCTTTTTCACTTTTTTCGGTTGGACTTTTCCGAGCAGTAGAAGCAGGAATCTATCAGACATGCAATTAGGAGTAGGTGGCTTTAATTTTTAAAAGGAACAATCAAGCATCTTGTGACCTTTGTCATGGTCAGACGGTCTCTTTTTTGTATCCAATGATGTAACGGAAGCTTGTTCTATATCCACCCGCATGGGGCAATATAGCTTATGGTGGATCCCAGATTCTTATGGAGCTGAGGAAATGCATTCAGACATGTGAGGTGGCCAATAGGAGCCTGTTTACAATTTTGTCCAATATGTTTCGCATCAACCAATCAGAGTCAGTGAGATCTGTGCTACCCGAAATTTCAGAATCAAGCTGGAGTAGGCAAAATCCCCCAGAAAGTCATGAAAAAGATAACTCTAAGAGGCCACAACACCAGGCAAAGGATAGAAAATTGAGTCCTTTGACTAGTTTTTAACCTCTGTTATCTCTATTGTAACTTAAGAGGTGGA